GAAAAGGAGGTAGAGGAAGAAGAGAAGGTGGAGAAGGAGACAGAAAAGGAGGCAGAGCAGGAAAAGGAAGAAGACAGCCTGGGAGTGGGGACCCACACGGATACTGCCATCCCCTCCGGCGAGCAGCCCTGTGGCTCGGAGGGCTCCCGCTCTGTCCTGGACCTGGTCAACTACTTCCTGTCCCCCGAGAAGCTGACAGCTGAGAATCGCTACTACTGTGAGTCATGTGGCTCCCTGCAGGATGCTGAGAAGGTAGTGGAGCTGAGCCAGGGGCCTCGCTACCTCATCCTTACGCTGCTGCGCTTCTCCTTTGACTTGCGCACCATGCGGCGCCGCAAGATCCTAGATGACGTGTCCATTCCCCTGCTGCTCCGCTTGCCGCTGGCTGGTGGCCGGGGCCAGGCCTATGATCTCTGCAGCGTTGTAGTACACTCCGGAGTGTCTTCAGAGAGTGGTCACTACTATTGCTATGCCCGCGAGGGCGCTGCCCGCCCTGCCCCTTCTCTGGGAACTGGTGATAGGCCAGAGCCTGAGAACCAGTGGTACCTGTTCAATGACACTCGAGTGTCCTTCTCTTCCTTTGAATCTGTCAGCAACGTCACCTCCTTCTTCCCCAAGGACACAGCCTACGTGCTGTTTTACCGGCAGCGGCCCAGGGAGGGGCCCGAGGCTGAGTCGGGCTCTCCCAGAGTCTGGACAGAGCCCACCCTGCACAAGGACTTGATGGAAGCCATTTCCAAAGACAACATTCTTTACCTACAGGTGAGCTGAGCCGTGGGGCCTTTGATCTGATCTCCTGGTGGAAGGGAGTCCAGTCCCAGTACAACTACTGGCTTAGATATTTCCCCCTTGCTTTAAGTCTTTTTAAAAAATCCTTTTCATCCATTGCTCAGTGCTATATACTGGTGGCCCAGACAGACCTAACCCCTTACTTCAAAGTAACAGACACTGAATAATGAATCATGCAGTTTTTTCCTTCAACTTTTAAGTTCCAGGGTACATGTGCAGAATGTGTTATGTTATATAGGTAAACGTGTCATGGGGGTTTGCTGCACAGATCATCCCATCACCTAAGTAAGCCCTGTATCTGTTAGCTATTCTTCCTGATTCTCTCCCTCCCTCTCCATCCCCCAGAAGACCCTAGTGTGTGTTGTTTCCCTCTCCCCATGTGTTCTCAGTGTTCAGCTCCCACTTACGAGCAAGAACATGCAGTAGCTGGTTTTGTGTTCTGTGTTAATTTGCTGAGGATAACGGCTTCCAGCTCCATCCATGTCCCTGCAAAGGACATGATCTTGTTCCTTTTTAGGGCTGCATAGAATGTATTACATGATGTATATGTGGCACGTTTTCTTTATCCAATCTATCATTGATGGGCATTTGAGCTGATTCCATCAATTTATTTTTTGCTATTTTGAATAGTGCTGCAGTGAACATGCCTGTGGCATGTATCTTTGTAACAGAATGACTTACATTCTTTTGGGTATCTACCCAGTAATGGGATTGCTGGGTCAAATGGTATTTCTGCCTCTTGGTCTTTGAGGAATTGCCACACTCTCTTCCATGATGGTTGAATTAATTTACACTCCCACCAACAGTATAAAGGGATTCCTATTTCTCTGCAACCTCACCAGCATCTGTTGTTTCCCAACCCTCCCCCCCCCGTTTTTTTTTTTTTTAACAGTCTCACTGTGTCACCCAGGCTGGAGTGCAGTGGCACGATCTTGGCTCACTGCAACCTCTGATCCCTAGGTTCAGGTGATTCTCCTGCCTCAGCCTCCTGAGTAGCTGGGACTATGGGCATGTGCCACCATGCCCTGCTAACTTTTTGTATTTTTAGTAGAGATGAGTTTTCACCATGTTAGCCAGAATGGTCTCATTCTCCTCACCTCGTGATCTACCCACCTTGGCCTCACAAAGTGCTGGGATTACAGGTGTGAGCCACTGTGCCTGGCCTGTTTCCTGTTTTTAAATAATCATGATTTTGGTTTGCGTGAGTTGGTGTTTCATTGTAGTTTTGATTTGCACTTCTCTAATGGTCAGTGATGATGAGCTTTTTTTCCTCATATGTTGGCTACATGAATGTATTCTGAGAAGTGTTCATGTCCTTTGCCCACTTTTTAATGGGGTTGTTTTTTTCTTGTATAAGTTCCTTGTAGACTCTGGATATTGGACTTTTGTCAGATGGCTAGATTGTGAAAATTTTCTTATTCTAGAGGTTGTTTACTCTGATAGTTTTTTGCTCTGCAGAAGCTCTTTAGTTAAATTAGATCCCATTTGTCATTTTTTGCTTTTGTTGCAATTGCTTTTGGCATTTTCATTATGAAATTTTTGCCTATGTTGTGAATGGTATTGGCTAGATTTTCTTCTAGGATTTTTAAAGTTTTGAGTTTTACATTAAAGTCTTTAATCCATCTTGACTGAATTTTTGTATAAGGTGTAAGGAAGGGGTCCAGTTTCAATTTTCTGCTGGGGTAACAGGTGTGAGTGGTAGTTTAATGGGAATAACATTAAATCTGTTAATTACATTGGGAAGTATAGCCATTTTCATGATATTGATTCTTCCTATGAGCATGGAATGTGTTTCCATCTGTTTGTGTCCTCTTTTATTTCCTTAAGCAGTGGTTTGTAGTTCTTGAGGTCCTTCACATTCCTTGTTAGCTGTATTCCTAGGTATTTTATTCTCTTTGTAGCATTTGTGACTTGGAGTTTATTCATGATTTGGGTCTTTGCTTGTTGGTGTATAGGAATGCTAGCAATTTTTGCCTGTTAATTTTGTAGCCTGAGATGATGTTGGGGTTTTCTAGCTATAGAATCATGTCATCATTGAAGCTGTTGTTTAATAAGTGTGCTGAAGCAGCAGCATAGGGACCTATGAGAGTGGATAGTTGAGTCTGAGTGGGAAGAGGCTGATTCTGGGGTGCTGTGCTACCCATGTGAGCCTCCTATGTAACTGTGTCTCTGACCTCACTTCTAGAGTCAAGGGTGGCACTGGCATATGGAGCAGCTGAAACAGCAAGGGCTTTGACCAGTGGGATGGGTACTAGCTGTAGCCAGGGGCCACACTGGGACCTGTAGTTACCATGTTTTGGGTGGGGAACACAGCACCTGGGATGGGGATGCCAGGCCTGTGTTACACTTACTTCTGCCATGCTACCCAGATGGAGGTAGGGTAGTGATAAGGATCTCCATAAGGAGGTGCTTTGTCATAGGCAGAGTCCATTCCTCGTGATCATGAGGCCAGCTGTCAGGTTCCTGTGGGGTGTGACGTGACCCTCAGAGTCCCTGGACCTCCTGCTTCCTAGTGCCACATTAGACTCTTGTCAGCTAGTCATATCAGTTCCTTGGTGCTGCCTCAGGGACTGTAGTTTTTGAGAAGAAGAGGTGGCATTTTGAAGCCTAGATCTAGGGTGGAAGGATGGGTCCACCCCATGCATCCTGTCACTGAACTGCAATGCCTCTAGACAAAAGCCATGGTTCCTTCCTCTGTGTCCAGGCCCTTGAGACACAGACGAGACACTTAGAAGGGTTGTGCTGGGTGGACTCTGGCTTCTGACTATGAATTCTAAGTTTCCTCTCATCTGTGTTCCCAGGAGCAGGAGAAGGAGGCCCGGAGCAGGGCAGCCTACATCTCTGCACTCCCCACATCTCCGCATTGGGGGAGGGGCTTTGATGAAGACAAGGATGAAGATGAAGGCTCTCCAGGGGGTTGCAATCCGGCAGGTGGCAATGGTGGTGACTTCCACAGACTAGTTTTCTAATGTGAACCTGCTGCCAGGCTGACCGTTCCCTCCAGGAGCAAGGTGGGGTCTGAGAGCGAGGCAGGCCCAGTCCTGTAGTAGGCCCTACCAAGAGCAAGCATGGTACAGGGATCTCATGGGATGTTAGTCCTCAGCCTGAAGGGTAAACAGAGGGTCTCAGCTATGGAAATGAGACCTAAGACCCGTAAAGATTTTACACCCAAGTGTCCTGGTTAACTTGAAGCACCTGAGCTGGGCACACATGGGTCTTTGCCTCCCCAGCCGGCCCCCCATGCTGGACTATCTGTTATTCAGGAACCAGGGTTCCTGCACTTCAGCTCTAATGTTGTGTCATCAAGCAGCCTTATCCTTCTGACTACTCTATAACATAAAGCACAGCAGGACCCAAGCCTTGCACAAAGAAGGGGGCTGTGTCACCCCCCTGGCTGTTTTCTTGTATGGGGGTGCCTACACTGTCTATATAAGATCAGGTGGGAATAAGCAGGGCCCAGGATTAGAGACTGAGACCTATCCCCCTTACCAAGCACCCATGCATGGTTGGGGGAGGGCTAGCTACTCACAGTGGGAGGCCTTTGCCCCCATATTCCCACCACCTGCCTCAGTGCCTGAGATGCCACCACTTGCATCCCCCTTCTGGTTAAGGTAAAGGTAGAGTCCTTACTTAACTGCAAATAGGTCTGTGTTCCTCAAAGTGTAGCCTCTTCTCATCTGGCCTTTGAAGCTAGGAGAACAGCCACCTTGAGGGTTGGGTAAAATGCCCTGACACTTATGTAGTCCCTGCTAAGGGGACAGAAGATGCACATGTTCTTAAATAAAACTACATTCTCTGAAGCTGAGCAAGAGGTGGTTCTTCCCGGTTCTCAGTGGCTGTGACAGCCATTGTACCCTGGGTTTTCTCACTAGGTCGGGGCAGGCTGACCAGTGGTGAGGTGAGGATACAGGCTGCATTATGCCTGTAGAGAAGACTTAACTAGGAGGCAGCTCCCAAGCCTGCACCTCCTTCCCCAGGAACTGCCCACTGTGCTAGAGGAGTGGAGTTTGGGCCTGATATCATACCTAAGTGACCTGTGAAAGAAATGAGTAGACATGCCCAGAATCCATTTGTACACTAAGAAAGATGGAGGCAATTCTGAAGTACAGAGCATTCATTCTTATCCCCAGCCAAGAAAAATACCCAATTATTTCGAGTGAGAACAAGTTCCAGCACCAAGCCCCTCCAGACAAGACGGACACAGCAGCTGGTTCTGGGGTGCATTTCTAGTGGACTTTATTGTCCTGCTCCAACGCCACAGTCAAAAGGGACCTGCAAGCTCCAGGCCTGTACCATGTGTCACCACAGCAAAAACATGACCCACTTGAACACACTCCTGCCCCACCCACCCACAGGATAAATATGTTACAAACAGAATAAATTAATAACTTAAGTGATTAGGCACCAACAGTGATTTGAAAATTGTCAATTTTAAATGGTGACAAGACAAGAACTCAAGACTGGGCTTCCATTAGCCCATTTCTCTTCCTCACCAATAGTGACAATTCTGCACGAAATAATTCTACACTTCAAGACACAAGTAGCCAACAAATACACAACACATGCCACCAGAAATCACATGACAGTCTGGATCTCTGGGGGACCCCCTCAACAGGTAGCTCCTCGTGGTCCCAGGCCCCAAAGAGCAGGGTGAGTCCCAGAAAGACAACCCCCAAGGAAGGGCTTTAGAGCTCTGGAGGCCAGCCTGGCTTCCCCTGAATTTTACAGACAAAGGCCAAGATGGGGAAGAAAGAGCTCTGGAAATGAGGTGGGGATGCTGGGCCAAGATGGCCCCGTGGCAGAAGGGGCCAAGGGGAGATGAGCTGAGCCTATGCTTCAGTAACTTCAGAATGGTTGTGCTTTTGTCCTAGGAATGGGGCATATTTCAATGGTTTCCAATGTAGAAGTGACCAAACTCAAGCTAGGAGGGGACTGGGGATAGGTGCTGCCCACCCCTGGCCATCCAGATCCTCCAGAAAGAAGTTACAGAAGAGGGAGTCTCCCCTTCAAGCAGCTGAGCACCAGCTGTGGATGGGACCTCAGTGCATATAATCCAACCTCCCATTCCAAAGACACACAGATCTAGGACGTAAGGAAACACCATCTCCTTATTTCTCATCGTTCTTACTTGACTTAACCTTGAAGAGGGTAAAGGAAGCTCCTTGGAGAGCCCCAGGCAGGACGAGTCCTCGTGTGAAGCAGTGCTGGGTGGTAAGGTATCCCCCTACCGGGGTCTCAGTCCTTACCAGGCCCTCAGGAGAGGTGGACTCTGAACCATGGATAGGCCAAACAAAGGAGTCAACTGAGATGACTCCTTTGTCAGGGAAGGTAGTGGGTGGAGGGTGGGGACATGCCAAACATGGCTGGTAGTTTGGGGCTTGTCAGCCAGAGCTTTGTTTTCAAAAGGTCAACTTTGCCTCTTTTATCCTTCCATCTCTGCCCCTACACTTCCACCCAAGGGATTTTGGTAGTTACCAGAATCAGGAGCTGAAAGGAGGCTTCCTGGGAGATTTGATTTGAACACCTCAGTTGCTCTCTGAAGAGTCCAGCCAGGTCCATTCACATCATGGCACACTCAGAACATGCTCACATTTTATGGGAGACTGCTGGGCTGTCAACTGAGAGCATCAATAGTCTGGGCCCACTTGTGGCTTCTGTGGGTACAGGGAAGGCACCAGTTAAAAGCTCTGTCATATGGGGCCCCTTGTAGAGGCCTTAAAGGCACACATTCAGGGCCGGGCACAGTGAACCAGCACCCTACCAACTGCCCAGGGTAGCCACTGCCACTGTCACCATTTCACCTGATGGAACACTGAGGCATGGCCCCGGCACTTCTGAATGGCTGGACCCATACGTCCAAAGGCCTTGTGTTCCCAAGACACAAGAGAGGCTTTCTAAGCCTCTCTGTCCTTCTTCCTCCACTGGACCCAAGCCCTGCCCTCCTCCTCTGTAGAATCTGACTCATCCCCTTCCAAGGCCTACTTCAGGCACCCCCTTTTCCTAGAATCCACCTTCCCTGATTGTGACCCCACTCCTGCCTCTGGCCCCAACCTCCCTAAGTCATGTCTTCCTCTGCACTCCATCAGCATTTTAAGTCTCTGTCTAATGGCTGTCACCACTGTCTCGTGTCCTTCTTTTTCTCACTGATTGTGACTATCTCAAATTCAGGGATATGGTCTGATTGATTCTTGTGTCCTTGGTGGCTAAGCCCCGAGACTGGACACAGCAACCATTAATAAATGCTCCTTGAGTTGATCTGAACTAATGCTAAGAGAAGAGGTCCAACTCTTGAGGAAGTAACTTCTTCCAGGATGGAACTTGGAGAACAGCTAGGCCATCGGTCTAGAGGACGGATGAGCTGAGCTGAGAAAACACTGGGCCGGCATCAGGCCAGACTCGTTCCTGCCCTGCAACCTGGCATATGCCACAGCGAATGGGCACAAACCATGAGCCATGCCCCATGTGGTCCTCTAGGCATCATTCTGCCCTGCTTTCTCCTTGTCCTGCCTTACCTGCTATCCCTCCATCCAGGGAACAGTCCTCATGTCATACCACCATGCATATCACTCTTGCATGAGTCACTCCTTCACTTTCTGCTCCACTCTACACCCCCACACATTGCCTTCGCCACTCCCCAACTCCCAGGCCCTTTGGATGTATTTCCCCACTTGCTACATGGCCTTCACCCCTGCTTCACATCCCTCTGCTACCTCTGAGCCCAACTTCCACTGTGCTGCTCACCACATAGAAACTCACTGCCCCATTCCACTGCAGAGTCCCCTACACTGCCCTGTGCCTCTGCCCAGCCTGTGCCTATCACAGGGTTCCCCTCAGTCCCTGAATCACCCCCATCCACACCATACTCCCTCCCACATTCCCTACCCCTTCACCATGCATTCCTGCCCCATATGCTTGGTCCAAGCCTTCCCCTGTGTTGTGCTCTCAAGGTGGGGTTGGTGGGGGCCTCTGAGGAGGGTGGGGAAGAGGACTTCCCCTGGGCCTAGAGTGGCCTGTATAGCTCCAAAGTTCTGGGGGCCCTGAGCTCCCAGTGTCCTCGTCATCTCTACCACCTGAGCTCCAATCCCTGCTTCTTGCTGTTCTGGGTTGGCCATCACCACTTTTCCCTTCCTTTTGCCCTTCATCTTCTGCCTCTGCAGCCAACAGCAGCTCTCCTGCTATGGCCTCAGCCTGAAAGTGAGATGTCCCTGCAGATGTGAGCTTTCCCTCTGTATCCCTCAAGACCACCGCTGGCCCTCCTTTCCCACCATCTCATCTTTTAGTGGCTTTGCTTCTCTCCTGCCAAGAAAAACAGGAATGAAAAAGTCCATTATCCACTTTGGTGTGCTGGTCCTTGACTCCCAGAGACTTGTCTTCTGGGACTGAGGAGAGGTAGCCCAGGGGCCGGAGGGAAGATAGCTGAGGGTTGTGACTGAACATAAGGTGTGAAATCTGGCTCAGAGCCCCAGCCCTTCCTTCCAAATGACTGGTAATCACATCTAAAGGACAGGAAGACGCTGAAGGATGCTTTTTGGCAATAGCTCCTAACTAAGGTGGGTGGAGGCATGGCCATTAACGATAAAAATCACAGGTGGGCCCCGAGTGGGCAGAGGACGTGCCTTGATCAGGCCCTCACCTCCCTGGGGAAGGGTTCAGGGTCCCTGATGTCAAGTGCTTTGAAGGCTGAGACTGGCAGAGTAGAGAGGAGGTGGGTGGGAGGGACAATGGGAGAGGGGACAGGGGGAAAGGAGATAGGAAGGGCCAGCTCTGCAGTGGCCCTCTGGTCACAGCTTGGCACCCTTGGAGGGCTCCGAGGACTGCCGCACGTCTGTCCACTCCTGCATGGTGTTCTGAAGGGCTTGGGTCTTCTCCTTGTCCACCTGAACATAGTCCACCTTCTCATCAGAAGTGACAGATGAAGTAGATGGCTGAGGGGACAGAGTGGGAGACAAAGAATAGCTTGTGAATTACCAGTTAGGTGGGGAGGAAGAAGACAGATTCAAGATCTTCCCAAGCTGTCTGAAGGGGAGAAGAGCACGGCCTCTGCCTGCCAAGGACCAGCCTCAGGAGCCTGGCTTCTCTTTTTGATGTGGGCTTTAAAGCTCAGACCCCAGACTCCTTCCTGCAGGATACAGCAGCTCCTGCCAGCCCTTCTTACTTCCCAGCTCCTGGGAGGACCCAGGCCCTTTCTTGGCCCCGGTGGATGGGTCCAGGCCTTCATTTCTGCCTCCACCCATCTCCATCTGGTTACTCATCCAGGGAAAGGAATTTGCTGGGTGCAAATAAGCATCAGCCACAGGACTTTATGTGCTGCCCTCACCACCACCCTGTGAGGGAGAATCATGCTGAGGCAGAGCTCTGCACCCTGCAGAGTCCCCTGCACTGCTTAGGCCAAGGGTACCTCCTGGGGAGGCTTTCCCAGGCCTGGAAGTCCTTTCTGAAGGCTGATGCATCAATGGCAGGGCTCTGGGACCCACCCAAGAGCCCAGGACCAGAAGGCAGTATCCTCATTCCTGGATCTGTTGCTGATTCACTTTGTAACCCTAGGCCAATCAGATCTCTGTGCACTCATTTGCCCATCTCAACAACAAGGGGGATGGGCTGACTAATGAAGTTCTTTAATTGAGGGTACTGTGCTCTGAGAGCAGGAATGGGAGTCTTTAGACCTAGATGAAAGCTCTATGACTAAAGATATCTCATAAAAGCTGGGTACTGGAGTGGGAGGGTAGCTGAGTGCTGCTGTTCAGTGTTTAAGGCACCCTGGCCTCCATGATCTCTGCCCCCAGGTCCCTGAGAGCCCTCACTGCCCCCTGCCCTCTGCCCCCCACCTCCACTCCAGGCACCTTGCGGTGAGGGCTTGGGGAGCTCGGCTGGAAGTCCAGGGCCAGATAATCAACACTGCCGGTGCTCTTCTTAGGGGCAGGACTGTTGGTGCCACTGGGAACAGGAGATGCAGACACTGGGTTTTGCTGTCATGAGGAGGAAAAACTGTGAGTGAGGGTAGTAAACAGACTAACCCATATGCAGAAAAACACTTCTGGGAGTAAGAACACTGGTTCCCTGAGCCCTGTTCTGACTCATGCACCATGGTAGGGACTTTTCATGTTCTCATTTTAATCCTCACTACAATCCTGTAATGTAGGTATGATTACTGTTGATACTGTTTAAAACAAAGATGAAACTGTGGTTCACTTTACTTTCAGAGAAGTGACGTTGCCTGTGTTTGCACAGCTGCTGAGTGATGCAAATCAGATCTGACTCCCAAACCTGTGCTAACTCCTGGACCATGCTGCCTCCTTTATGGCACATCAGGCCAAGTCTCACAAACAGTGGCTCTCCTGAGACACCCAGCCTTTGCTTGCTGGCCCTTAAGAAGGGAGCACATTTCCTTTATGCACTGGAAAGTTTTCTTCTGTTGTATCAAATTGGCTCCTCTGGAACTCCCACCTGTGCCCTAGAGCAGGGTAGTCACCCCAAAGCAGCTTGCTCCCCGGCCTGGCTTCTCCAAGTTCTGAACAGAGTTGCTTCATCTCCAGGCTGCACAAAGCCCCCATTCCTTTAGCACTTCTTCAGATGAAATGCTCTAGGATCCTGTCCATCCAGTCTCCTGCTCTACCCTCCTCTAGCACTTTCCTGAAGTCTTATTCTAATGAGAAGGTGAAACTCCTGTGTTCTGTTTGTTGGCTGCTCTATTGGTTGGTTAATTCATTCTTTTAATAACTATGAAGTGACTACCAGGTGCTGGGCAGTTATGCCCTTAATGGAAATCTCGGGGAAGAAATATCCTACTCTGCCTGTGTTGATACCTCTATTACAGCCTTACCACGGTGAGTTAGGTGCACGTATGTCTGTCACTGCTGAGTAGATACCTCCAGCACTGCCTTTCCACAGGCACAGATCATGCCACCCATGTCACTGTCATGAGAGAGGCAGGCCCCTCTGCTCTCGAAGACCATGACTTTGTTGGGACAGGGTTCATGTCTACCTTACATCTGATGACAACTCCTACTACTTCATAAACAGGTGCTCAAGAAGGATTTGTAGCAGGAGACTAAATCATGAATAATATAAGGAGTCCTTGGGCTGAGGTGAGTTAGCCAAGCTGAGAAGTGGGGAACTGAGTGGTGAGTCCCAGGGGACCTTGACAGGAGTCATTCCAGCGAAATCCAAAGGACTCACCATAGAGACATAGTTCTCTTCACTGTCTCCTGAGTCTGTGCTGGTGATACTCTGGGTGGAGATGGGGCGGCAGTACTGCGAGGAGCTGGAGTTGAAGGTGTGGCTGTTGTGGGAAGGAGATGAAGAGTCAACATTGGGGAAGCCACATGGCTGCTGTCATGTTTCTAGCTTCCAGCTGGGCCCTGACCCTCACACACCCAGACCTCAGCCACTAGAGATGCACACTTTATCAGATTAAGATCTGATATAGCACAGGTATAATTATTCCCTTTTGTAGCTGAGGAAACCAAGCCACAAGAGATCAAGAGACAAGATCAGCTAATGATAGCATCAGAATTCAGGTGTCCTGGCCCACAGGCCAGCTATCATTTCACTCATGTTCCCTAACTGCCCAACTGCAAGCTCCCACCCCCACACATAGGCACTCACTTGGCCCTAGACCAAGACTTGGTGATAGGTGACTTGAAGGGGAGCTCATCGATGACGGTGTTGTTTCTCAGGTCAAGTGGTGTTGGCTTTGCTGGAGCAGGAAAAGAAAGTCTGGTAATCAGCCGGTAATAATAATGCTACACATAAACACCTTATATATAACACAAGAGCATGTTTATAAAGACCTGCACAGTCATTCCAGTTTCACACAGGGAAACTGACACTCAGCGAGGTTATATAATTTTTGTCCATATTGATGGGCCTTGAAGTCATGTCTTTAGATTCCAAATTATATATTCTTTCTGCTTGTATCTATAGTAATATATTTTCAGAATCAAAAATGGGGATACAGGGTTTTACAACAGATTTTTCTCTCGATTTATGACATTTAAAAATAAGAAACCATACATATATATATATATATGTACGTGTGTGTGTGTGTGTATTTTTTTTCTTTTGAGACAGGGTCAAGCTCTGTTGCCAGGCTGGAGTGCAGTCAGGCAATCTCAGCTCACTGCAACCTCCATCTCCTGGGTTCAAGTGATCCTCCTGTCTCAGCCTCTCTAGTAGCTGGGACTGCAGGCACCTGTCACCATGCTCAGCTAATTTTAATATTTTTAGTAAAGACAGAGTTTCACTATGTTGGCCAGGCTGGTCTCGAACTCCTGACCTCAGGTGATCCACTCACCTCAGCCCCCCAAAGTGCTGGGGTTACAGGCATGAGTCACAGCACCCAGCCAAGAGACCAAATTTGAAGTGGGGATGGTCACCATGACTACTCCCTGCTGCTCCTGGCCAGGTCTGTGCAAGCCACAGTGGAGGAAGGTAGATGCCACGAGGGCCTGAGGGCTTCAGTTCCACATGGTAAGATTTGAATTCCCTGTTGGCCAGACCCACAGGGGGCTATCTCCACCCAGTTATCCCATTCCTCCCTTTGAATCCTTGCCACTGATCCAAGGCCAGGAGGTTGACTTAGTAGCAGACCAAGAACTTGCCTAGTCTACATGCAGCGGGCACAAAGATGACTTTACTGAACACCGGCTGTGTCCCAGAGTGCTAGCCTAGATGCTCTCCTTCACAAAAAACCTGAGAGGTAGGAATGACCATCTGCATTTCACAGATAAGAAAACTGAGACTCAGAATTATGTGAGTTGCCCAAAATCACAAATGCCAAGTCCAGGATCCACATGACCCATCAGCAAATGGAAAGAGTCCCTAAGCTATTGTCCAGATATGGGACAGGGGAAAGAATGGACTTACCTTTCCGGTCAGGTTTGAGGTTGCGGTTGACAGGGGGTGGCTGGATCTCACTTCCTCTGCTGGGGCCTCGATGCATAGAAAGGGTTGTTGATGGGTAGCCAAGTGGGTCAAAGTGATGGGCCCCTGGGCTCATTGGGATGTAGACACTCTGGGAATTATCACCTGCTCGTTCCATGGCCAACAGGGTGGAAGAACCTGGGTTCATGGGCACGTAGTTATCTTCAGAATTGGTGCTGTCCGATCGGCTCACAATCATTTTCCCTGGCTGGGGAGAGGAATAGTGAAAGAAATATAGCTGTTACTAGCAAGAAGAAACAGGAACGGGGTAAGACTTTGTAAACTAGGCAAGACAAGTCATGACTGGGTTAGGTATACTTTGAAGCTATAAGGGAGACCTTAGGAAGACCAAATAAGAAAGCGGAGTAGTGGGAGGCTGAGGCAGGTAGATCATTTGAGGTGAGGAGTTCAAGACCAGCCTGGCCAACATGGTGAAACCCCATCTCTACTAAAAATACAAAGTATTAGCTGGGCATGGTGGCATATGCTTGTAGTCCCAGCTACTCAGGAGGCTGAGGCATAAGAGTTGCTCGAAGCTGGGAGGCTGCAGTTGTAGTAAGCCAAGATCACGCCACTATACTCCAGCCTGGGTGACAGGGCGAGACTCTGTTTCAAAAAATAAAAAATAAAAAGAAAGAAAGCAGAGTGGGAGACAGGAACATATGAGGTCTGTGGGTCCGTTTAAGCCTTCATGATCCCTTGGTGTCCACCAACAACTTTTTATAAATCTAGAGTATAAAATATTCTTGGTGACTAGGTCCACTTGGCTTTCTGGATAGCTGACCAATGCTGAGGGTAGGTTTGGTTCAGGACCTGCCCTCCACACCTCAAGTCCAGACTCACCATTGGCAGGTCAGCATCTCAGGCCCTGGATCAGAACAAGGAGCATATTAGGAGTCCTGGTCCTGGAAGATGAGGTCTGGGGCCAGTTGTATTTCCCCAGTCTAGTTTTCTAAGTACCTGGGGCTCACTCCAGGCACCTAGGGGCCCACCAAGCTGTAGTCAGAGCTGCTATTGAGTTATATAATACAGCAACCCTGGCAATAGCCCTCCTCTAACTCCTGCTCTATCTGCCCTGACATACAACTAAGCTGCTTCTGCCTTGGTTACCCGATTTCACTGTCTTTCCAGTAGGCTTGAAGCCAGGCCCTGGTCTCCTTGCCTGACATCTTGGAGAACTGTGATTAGCATCTTCCAGCAGGCAGCCTGGGATCCTGCACTCAAGCCATAATTCTGCCCACTTAGCCCGACTGTGAGTACCACCCTTGCCTGGAGTCTCACAGTGCAGCCTCCCTCCTGTACATGAGGCCTCATGGGTAAGGTTGCTTCCTTAGAAGATCCCCTACTGTGTAGCCTGGGTCTGTTGCATTCTAGACCCTCTCCTTACCTACAGGGTTGGTGAACCTTGTAATCCAGTCTACCTTAGCACATACACTTCTTTCAGACTAGAATACTTAAATCTTACTTGTCCAAAGACTCAATGCAGTGTTCTGAACTGAGACAAGAACTTGGGCAGGGTCCTAAGATGGAGATGCCATCCTTATTTTGGGGTTGTGCTTTTAGTTCCATAAGGTTCCTTGTACCCACCTAGGCCAGCCTGAGGACTCCTGGTTAACTCATACTCACCAGGAAAGAGCTGACTCCATCACTCATGGATTCAGTAGACCGGCCTGCACTCTCTCCACCACGCTGGGGGTACTCGTAGGTCTCACAGGAAGAAGCTGACAGAGGAAGGAGGATACATATTTACTCATGATTGATTCATGTGTTGGCACTTCCCCATACCCTCAACTAGTGTGGTTCAAGGTCTTACTGATACTCTAGAAGATACTACTCTCAACCCCAAATGATAAGGAATTTCTTCGAACACATCACTCTTCAGTTCAAAAATTCCTCCTGGACTTCTAGATGTAGCTCCAATGTTAGCATCTGCAGAGAAGCCCTCCTTGACTGCTCTACCCTCATCTATGCACCTCTCGTTTGACTCCTATAGTACTCACCACCTGTCCCACTCACCCCAGCCATCACCTTTTTGAATACCACAGTAACAATACTTGTCCTAATTTATACACATTGGTTTCATTTTCACAACGAGATGTATGCTCTGAAGAGCAGGAACATGTATTATGTATATCTTCATTATCTCAGTTCCAGAGCAGTGTGACTGCTCAAATTGTTGATGGATTGAAAGACAGTAAAGACGTCTAAACCAGGAGCCAGGACTCTAGGGTCTGAGTCTCATCTCTGGCACCAATGACTCTGCAACTCCGTTTAAGTCTCTTAACTGTCATGGGCCTCATGTGAAATGGAGGCAAGGAGGCTTTGTCCCACCAACGTCCCAGACTGGCTTAAACAACAGGATGGACAAAAAAAAAAAAAAAAAAAAAAGGCTTTACAAGCTATAAGGCAAGATGCAAAATGAAAAGAATATTGTTCTATTTTTTCATCACACCGAGGAGGTTATATGCAGAGTTGGAATACTCTCAGTGGAAAACAAGTAACAACAGAATTTAGGTACTTCAAATCGAAGTTTCACCTTCAACCAGAGGCTCAAATGTGACTTAGAAAACATTCCGATCTAATTTTAACAATCTGTTAGTCCACATAGGTTTCATTCCAGTTTGGACTGGTCTTCTAAATTTACTTTTTAAATCTCTGGTTTGATTAATGAATACAATAAAATGATTTGGACTTCTAAACCCATAATATGTTATACTGTGGTTAATCAAGAATGTCCTATTCTGCATTAGTAGAATATTAATGTCTCCAGGGCCAGCTCTATATAGTTGCAGTTATATACCTGCAACTAACAGCCTCCAGTGCTGGAGGACCAACTGGTAAGGGATCTGGGTAGAAGATACCTACGTTTGTCAATATCAGTGACCTAGGTGGTTCTTAAGTCCCCCTCAGCCATGGATGACCAAGGACTAGCAAAGCATTAAGAACCCTGGTGCTACCTCCTTCTCTCTCTGTCTCAGCTAGGGCTTATACTGACCTCGGTGAAGTCGGCTGTTGTCCATTGCAGGGAGGGTATTGCGTCTGGGGATGGTGGCAGCGACAGATCTGCTATTTTCACTGATTGGAGGTCTCTGCTGAGGGCTGCCCCATCGAGGTGTTTCTGCCTGACTTGGCTTGGGGGGCCGGGGTGGGGGAGCTATGGCTGAGTCCCCAGGAGTGGCCACTGTCATGGCATTGTGGTTCTTGTCCAGAGTGAATGTCCTAGGGATCTGGTAGGCTGAGAGTGGGGTAGCCGGAACATCCATATTGTCTACCAGGAGGTCCCCAAACTCCCGGCACAGGGTGTTGCTGGGCGTCTTGAAGGTGTACACATCCTCATTATCTGTCTCAGAGCCTGTGAGGCTGCCCTTGGTGTGGCCATGGGAGGCCAGGCTGCGGGGGAGGTCATAGGTACTGTCTCTGAATTCTGTATTGTGCCGGCTTGGCTTGGGAAGGCTATAGAAGCCATGGACTTGACCACCGACCCCGTTAACACAGTGTCCATTGCCTTGGGCAAGTTTTTGTACGGCTGTATCACTCCTCATGAGAAAAGAGGCCCTGGTGCCCTGAGAGAAGCTGGCACTCCTAAAAGAGAAAGAAGGGAAGGGGCAGGAGGGTGAGACAAGGCAAGTACTGCCCCGCAAGGAGACAAACTGGGATGTTCAAAGCCTCATGCAGCTAGTTGATGTGGACAAAACACAGGATGAGGAGTCAGGCCAACCTGAGGTTTATCTGCGACTTGCCAATTACTAGCTGCGTAACCTTGACCAAGGCATTTTCTCTTTCTAAACTTCGGTATAGGCATCTATAAAATGGTGACTAAGAGCATACTTTGAAGGTTTATATATTATTTATATAATTTTTCAATTATATATGTTGAAAGTTTATATATTAGACTCTAGTATATGTAGTAATATAGATGTTTAATCAATGTTAGGCTTCATCCGTCCCCTACCTCCAAATGCCGGTTATTAGCAGGGGTTATAACCCCCCTCCCCAACCAGGTATCAATAAGCCAGTTGTACTGCCTATATGTTCATTGTTTTAAGTACCATAGAATATGCGCACTTGAATACAAATGTTGTGAAATAGTGGAAAGAATCTTTAAGGTGATGTCAGGAAACGGCAAACAAATCATTTTATCTCTCTAAGTCTGTTCTGCCACTGTAAAACTAGCTCATGGGTATTGATGTTGTAAGTTAAAAAGAATTATTCAGGTCAGCTGCAGTGGCTTATGTCTGTAATCCCAGCACTATGGGAGGCTGAGGCAGGAGGTTCACTTGAGGCCAGGAGTTCAGGACCAGCCTGGGAATAGAGTAAGACTCCATCACTACAAAAAAAATGATTAGCTGGGTGTGGTGCTGCACACCTGTAGTCCTAGCTACTGGGGGCAGGGGGCTAAGGCAAGAGGATTGCTTGAGCCCAGAAGTTCAAAGTTAGAGTAAACTATGATCGCACCACTACACTCCCAGTCTAGTAAACAGTGAGACCCTGTCTCAAAAAGACAACCCTCCCATACAAACAAACAACAAACTATTCACACATAAGCTACAGATTTATTTTCTACCATAACTTACTGAGAGGCATTTAGAGGGGAAATACCTCTTTCTGGAGATCTAGAAATCAATAGGAAGAATGGTTTCCTGTTTGGGAACTATATTCAGGACAGGAAAAGTTTTGATTAGTACATTTTAAAATTTAGGTTTTGGGCAATAAGACAAGCAGTAAAAAGAGAAGAGAAGCAAGAGAGGAGACTTGTGCCAGGTTTTCGTTCCGCCACCAATATGTGCTGTGAGTGTTACCAAGCCTCCTCTCTCAGGTGTGACCTAATATGTTGCAATGATTTCTAAGGGCCCATCTGACTCTCATGCTCTACAAGCCCTTGGCTTCACAAGAGTGGTTTTCGAACTGAATTCTATGTTCTCTGTAGGTGCTTTGGGAAACTGGAGGGTGAAGTTCTGAGTAAGCAGGGATTCAAGTCTGCTTCTTCAGCTTTGATCTTATGATTCTTCATAGGGTTTCACTGAGGGAAAAAAAGAATCAATCCTTTGTAGCAGTGATTCTCAGCCTTTCGAAGGCCATAGGAGTTTTAAAGACTCTGGTCAAAAGCTCTTGGAGTGTCTCATCAGAAAAGGCAAATCTCATATACGTATAAACTTGTTGGGGCTGTAATACATAGCCTTCTGAGGCCAATCTCCAGACTTTTTGCCTTAGAGAAGCTCTCTCAGCTCCTGGGGAGTTTGTTATTCACAGATGTAGCCACCAGATGGTGTTAGAAAATAGGGGCCAGAGCTTAGAAAGAGGAAAGGAAATAGGTGTGTAGGCCAGGCTTCCTCTCATGTAAACTGTACCCATGATGGCTGGAAGTTCCAGGTCAGTCTCCAAACCTTTACTGATGCTCCTCCCTGGGCCTCTACATTCTTCCTCCCTTTCTGTTCCATTCTACACACATAACCAAGCCAACAGCCATGGGCTTGGATGATTGACCATCTAGCCTTTAGATAACATAGTGCTTAGGGAAGAGGACGGGGAGTGAAGAGTAGACATAATGTGTTAATGTTGTTTGCATTTTTTTTTGGTGCCTTTCATTTTTTTTTGTTTGTTTTAGAATTTCCAACTCTGTTGGATGCTCCCATTTGGATTTGTTCATTTAACATTTACTGATGTTCTAATGTCCATCTGGGCCAGGCAAAATGGATACAGAGATGCCACCTGCTCAGTGAGGGATGGTGAGGGAATGTCACAGTAGTGGAGAAGGTGACATGCATACAAATAATTACAGTCAAGTAGGGGTGAGTGCATAGCTGTTGACAGTTGGTATTAACCCTTGCTAGGGGTGGCAATAGACAATGTCAGGGAAGGCTCCTTCAGAGATATGTTATATCTGAGTGAGTCTGGAAGGATGAGCCACAACTGGCTACGTAGAAAGCAAGAGAAGGGAAATGGTGTTCTAGTTGAAGGCTCAAAGATGTAGAACACAACCTGACAAGTTCCAGGAACTGAAAGCTGCTCAGGCTGCAGCAAGCACATTAGAAGGCAGGGCTGAGAGAACACAATGGAGGCCAGGCCAGAGCTGAAGGGAATGGGGAGCCTCTGAAGGATTTCAAGGTGGGCATGAGGTTGAAAGAGCATCACAGGTATCCTGCAAAAACCTTTAACATAGTCAAGACTGGGCCGGGTATGGTGGCTCATGCTTGTAATCCCAGCACTTTGTGAAGCCGAGGTGGGCAGATCATCTGAGGTCAGGAGTTTCAAGACCAGCTTGACTAACATGGTAAAACCCTGTCTCTACAAAAAAAAAACAACCTACAAAAATTAGCTGGGCGTAGCAGCAGGCACCTGTAATCCTAGCTACTCAGGAGGTTGAGACAGGAGAATCACTTGAACCCGAGAAGCAGAGGTTGCAGTAAGCTGAGATTGTGCCATTGCACTACAGCCTGGATGACAAAGCAAGACTCCATCTCAAAAAAAAAAGAAAGAAAAAAGAAAAGAAAAACATAGTTAAGAATGAACTCATCATCTTACTCTTGAACTCTTACTTCTCCTGCCTCTCTTATTTTGGGAATGGCACCAGTTACTCAGGCCAGAAACCTGGGAGTCACTCACATTATTATTTCTGCCCAGGGCCTCTCTGATCCTTACATCCTAGTAATACTTACTTTCCTAACTTCCCAGTGTAAACATTTTCAATACTGCCTCACTGCTTCAGGATTAAGCCCAAACTCTTCGGTTTATCCCAACTCATCTCTCCAATCTTTTCGCTGTAGCTCCCCTTTCCACTCTAGAATCCAAACCAAACTTTGCAGTGTTCCCTGTATTCCCCATTTAATCAAGCATTAGGCTTTGTTATACTGTTGGGCTGTGTCTGGAAGGCTTCTTACCTCAATCTGGCAGGCTCCTACTCCATTTATCCTTCAGACTCATCTCAGAAGACACATCTTTTAAGGCCATTCTTACATCCTGTACCTCTAGGCATTGCTTAACAATCACTTGCTTAACTTTGTTCTTGGAGCAGGTAGCAAGTGTTATTTACATTAGGCATCATCACTACTTATCTCCACCAATAGAAGGTGATTTCCTTGAGGAAAGAAACTCTGTCTTACTCATTTTCTCTCCTTAGCAGCCAGGTTAGTACTTGTTGCATTGTAAATAATGAATAAATGTTTTCTGTAAGTAAGCAAATAAATAAAGAAAAGTATGGTGCTGCCATCCCTCTTCCTGGACTTGGCCCAAACCTTCTGATCAGCAGATCAAAACTCTTCTTCTGTAGAACCCACTAGCTATGTTCCAACTTCCCTCTACCCTGGCATCCTCCTCTCTTGCTCACAGAGCTACTCACTCATCCCTAAACATGTCCTGTGTAGCCTAAACTTCAGCCCTAGGCTTGCATTACTCACCTCCCTGTGGAATGCTTCTTGATACATGAAAATTTTACACAAAGTCCAAAAGAAGCCTTTCACTCAACAAAGGTATTACAGGTCCCTAATTCTCCTTTTTACCGTAATCATTCCTTCCTCTGTGCTACCACAGGCTTCCATCGTAACACTCACCTTATTCTGCCTTACATTAGGTATTCAGGTCTGTGTCTTTCTATTTCTACCAGACCATGTGTTCCTAGAAGGCAGAGGGCCATATTCTACACCCTGGCATAGTGCCAAGCATATGATTGATAATAGTGACACATGTTGAGGGAGACTGATTATTACCTCAGTAACAAAGTAAGAGGAGTTGAACAAGGGACTCTTGGCCAAAGTTACATACTCAGAGGGTAGGGAATTTGTTCTAGCACCTAAGTCTTTGGGCGCCCCACCTGCTCAAACCATGCTACAGTGTAGGTCCCTTTGGGCCATGATCCAGATGAAGAATTCCAAATACTCAGCAGTCTTGAGGCCTTTAGTACTTTCATGTAAACATTAAATGAAGCCTATGTCACTGTGATGACCTGAGTTGCTTTTGTGGGATGCATAATCCACCTGGAAGTGGTGGATTTGGAGACAAGCTTCTCTTCAGGGCTGGGCTTATAGGAGCCTCATAAAATTGGCAAGATACATATCACAATAGGCCCTACATATCACATGTGATCTCACATTAAATCCTAATAGTTCTGAGACACATTTTACTTTTACATATCAGATGAGGAAAACAGTAAATGGCATAGTTGCTGCAGAAAGATACTCAAACACAAGTGTGTAGGGGAGCTCCCTGGGGGCAAAAAGAAGTTTCAGAGAAGATATTCCCACAAGCCAGCAATGCCAAGTGCCTTTCCTTCCCATTCCTGGCTGATGGCTCCTCCAGAGGCTATTCATATCAGACAGTCTCTCCCTTGGCTTTTAAAAGTGTTTTCTAGCCACTTCATTTTGTACTTGTTCTTCCACATATTTTCATTTAATTTTATGTACCATACTGTATGATGATTTTGCTTTTTTCTATCCCACTGGACTCCTAGAACCTTAATGATGAAAGACTTGACTCACTTTGATTTTTCAATGAGTATGTTCCCACTTAAGGGAGACTTAATATAAAATGCTTGTAAGTAATTAACCACCATTTAGAGTTCTGTACTATCACTGGCCATTGTAAGATGT